GCCCCCCCCCCCCGGCATTACTGAAAAGTGAATCAGTCTGGAAGGGTTTACTTTAGAGTTCTGTTTGTTGAAGGACATGGAATGAGCTGATATGTATACATATATTAACTTCATTTGGATTTGTCTTCTCTGTGAATGACAAAACAGTTCTTCTTTGTGGTCCATTTCTGCCCATTTGTTTTGGTAGCTTTGTAAATCTAATTTGGAGACTTCTCTTCCCACTGCATGCCATCTGGGTCTTTTTAATTTACGTGTTTAATATCTCCCGTTTACTGCTCTTCTTCGTAGCTATAAACATAATGACAATAAGCTAATAGGCCTGCTAAACTGCTCTGGCAAGGAAGCATTGGCTTATTGTGAGAATTTACTCCTCTCTTGAAGTGGGAGAGGTGTGATTCAGTAGGGAGGGAATTCTAATGGAAGAAGCTGAAGGGGGAGCTTGACTAAGTTTAGGACCTGGCATGTGCTTTTTTTTAAAGCAAACTGGTCCTTCATAAAAGAAAAAGAATTGGTGTGACAATTTTAGAGTCCTAGATCATACTAAGGCAGTGTCTCTTGGTAATTAGAACAAGGTAGAGAGACTCTCGTCATCCTCATCTGAATGCCACTTGCTCTTGGCCAGATGACAGAACTGCTCTGTGAGTGGTAGTTTCTAGGAAGACTGTAGTAAGTTTGATCACAAGTTTTCAGACAAGATAATGTTGTTTGGCAGATCTTGTCTTGTGCAACCTCCCGCTGAGCTAGTCTTGATGTGCCTGCGAAAAGGAGAACTTGTATTTAGACATACATTTCATGCAGTCCATAGAACAAACACTTTGAATCTAAGATGTAATAGTTTGTACCTTGAAAGCATGGTGAGATGCTTCTTAAGCTTTCCCTTTACTCTATCAGACTTCCCTACAAGTTTCACTGCTGCTAACAGCATTTCGGAGGTACTTATGTGTTTTAATTGAACAGATACCAACAAAGTCCATATTTGACTTTCAAAACACCAAACTCACTTATTTTTCTCTCTTACTCACTTTTATAAATGGGTAACTTCATTGTTCTCTCCCCTACTACCTGCTGCTAGGTAGTGTACATTCTGATAGCTTTTAGCATGTTAATCTATGTGGACAGGTCTTGAACAGCTGGAAAGTTAGACACAGACAGCTGTCATTTGGAGGCAGAGAAGTGCTGAATTTCTTCATGTCTACGGACAGAGAGAGCCATTCAGGTTTTCTCTGTTCTATGTGGAACCCTATGTTGTTTAACACTTTGGCAGCATTTTTTTTATTACTTGGGTGTGTTACATGTGTTGTGCTCAAATTTTTTTTTTCTTCTTGAAACTCGTACCATTTGTAATTCAAAATGACTTATTTTTTCCCTGTCAAAATTGATGTTAATCATGTAACACTAATAATACAGAAACCCAGCCAATTCAAGTAAGCTGAAAGGGGATGATTCCCTGTCACCCCCAGTGTCTAGCTTCTGGTGTCAAAATGAAGTTAATCTACTGGGAAACACCTAGAAGAGGGAAAGGGTTTTTTTAATATTAAAAACAAAACCAAACCAAACCAAACCAGCCTCTTGGTGACTTTGAACCAGATGGTTGGGTAATTGTCATGATGAA